ATATTAACCCTCGATGCAAGTTCTTTAATCGTACTTAATCGATTTGTAGCAATTGTCACCAGTAAATTATTTTCATCTATCATTTTTTGTTGGTAGAATGTGATTTTCTGAATCAAACTTTCCAGATTGGAAGATTGGAAACCACTTTTGACACGTGCAAATCATTACAGGATTTTTTCCAAATTCTCAGAAATTTTTTTTACTGTTTCTGTGGCTGTAGTTTTCCTTCAAAACTCGCATTTTAATGCAATCGAGAATGTTAGTAGAAAACTAGATATTCACATTCGCTATTTTTTAATTTCTGGTATCGAGAACTGGTTTGGAGACACTTCACACTTTATTTTCTAACATGATAATGCCAGTTGCCATCGTGGCAAAGCAGTAAAATATTTTTTGCAACGATAAAAACAACAATATCGAGGAGGGATTATCTTATAATATAATAGTTTTAGAAGTAACTGATATTTATCAATTCTTTTTAACAAAACTATTAGTTACTTTGGATTTGAATTTTTTGTGGGTATGAATAGACGACTTTAAATTACAAAAAACAATTTTTCAATATCGATTTTACTGTTTGTAAATTAATGTAGAATCTTGTCAACCTCTTCGTTCGATTTTTAAACAATTTTCTTAAAGTTAGATAGTTTACGCAGGTATCGAACCTGGACTTTATTTTTAGAATACTTTGTGACTGAAAAACATTTTTCGTCAATTTTATATTAAGATGGCCGATCGAAAATTTCATTTCACGTAACATTTTGTGTTTTTCTTCGTTATTTTTTGACGATGAATGAAAGTTTCTCACATTTTACAGTTATGTGCTTTAAATCGAGTCCCCTTTAGTACTCTATCACGTGACTATTATATGCAATGATATTTAATAATTGAAAAACATGAATTTTTTTCGTAAATTTTATATTAATACGTCCGATCGAAAATTTCATTCCACGTAATATTTTGTGTTTTCTTTCGTTACTTTCTGACGATGAATGAAAGTTTCTCATATTTTATAGTTATTTAATCTAAATCGAGTCCCTCACGTAACAATTACACGTAATTGCGTTTAATGACCAAACTATCTTTATGCAAATTCATATTTTTATTAATAGAATTGATGGAAGTATAATAATTTGTATCTTAATTGAAGTATGTCTTATATATTTGCAATTCTGAATTTCTTTTAGAATAAAAATTTCCTATAATCTAAATTTCCCATAAATATTTGCAGTAAATCGATAACTGAAAAACATGAATATTCTTCTGGTTGTTTTCTAACGAATAATGAAAGTTTCTCACATTTCATAGTTATTTACTCTAAATCGAGTTCCCCATAGAACCCCTTCACATAACAATTGCACGTAACTATATCTAATAACTAGACTGCGTCTCTCTATAAAAATTCATATTTCTATTAATAGAATTCATGAAATCAAAACTTTGTAGAGGGTTATCTCAACCCCTAAGTATAATAATTCACATTTTACTTTAACTATGCCTCATATTTTCGTACATCAAGTGCATTTAAAATTTTTTTAAAAATAAAAATGTCCCACAATCGCATAAACATTTGCAGTCTATTATTAACTGAAAAACATGAATATTCTTCTGATTGCTTTCTAACGAAGAATGAAAGTATCTCACATTTCATAGTTATTTACTCTAAATCGAGTTCCCCATAGAACCCCTTCACATAACAATTGCACGTAACTATATCTAATAACTAGACTGCGTCTCTCTATAAAAATTCATATTTCTATTAATAGAATTCATGAAATCAAAACTTTGTAGAGGGTTATCTCAACCCCTAAGTATAATAATTCACATTTTACTTTAACTATGCCTCATATTTTCGTACATCAAGTGCATTTAAAATTTTTTTAAAAATAAAAATGTCCCACAATCGCATAAACATTTGCAGTCTATTATTAACTGAAAAACATGAATATTCTTCTGATTGCTTTCTAACGAAGAATGAAAGTATCTCACATTTCATAGTTATTTACTCTAAATCGAGTTCCCCATAGAACCCCTTCACATAACAATTGCACGTAACTATATCTAATAACTAGACTGCGTCTCTCTATAAAAATTCATATTTCTATTAATAGAATTCATGAAATCAAAACTTTGTAGAGGGTTATCTCAACCCCTAAGTATAATAATTCACATTTTACTTTAACTATGCCTCATATTTTCGTACATCAAGTGCATTTAAAATTTTTTTAAAAATAAAAATGTCCCACAATCGCATAAACATTTGCAGTCGATCGATAAGTGACAAAATTTGTTATTTTTATTCCGTAATTTGATAATAACGGTTTCGTTTGAAATTTGCCAGTGGTTCGTGGAAACGCGTACAATTACATAAGTAGAAAGTTTTCTTACCAACCCCGATGTAGAAATGGAGCGGCAAGTCGACCGTATCAGTCACTATAAAGGGTGGGTCACGGATGGCGCCACTGTAAAGCTAACCACCTTCGCTGCAAGGCGAGGCGAAACGGAGTACGGTGTGGCGAGGGTTGCAAATCCAACCCCGTAAAGCAATTCGCCACCGAAAGGGGTTTAGAAAGTCGCCATGTCTGTCCAACTCCACGGTCGCTATATCTACGCTTAAATGCTGATGAAATGTCAAGGCACGTCGCGAGTTATAGACTTGTCGGCGTTGTCGAGCCGTTCGGTGTCTTTGTAAGCTCGTACGTCGTCACGTTGTCGAGAGTCCTCGGGATCTCGTTGATCGCGCTCGTTCTCGGTCTCCTGCTTGTGCTTGTGACCGTGGTTGTGGTCGTGGCCGTCTATGTGGCCCTAGTCGTATTCGTGCTCCTGTTCGTGCTCGTTCCTGTGCCTGTGTACGCGTTTGTATTCGCGGATCGGTGGTCTCGACAGCACCGTGGCCCATAAGTTCACGATCGGGCTACGTACCCGCCGCTAAGATTTCGTACGGCCCGTGTAATCGCAAAGGGGCGAAACTAAACCAAGGCGAGAACCGCGAGGGTTAGTTCCGAGCCCCGGAATCGAGCCGCCGTGGCCCCCCCTCGCGCGAGTGCAGGTAAATTTTTGTCGATTCCGCTACGGCGATTCCGTGACCTTGGCACACAAAACAACGCACCTAGTCCACCGAAGTAAACCGTCGGTCGGGACAAGGTAACCACGAGCACGGCCGCCCAAATTCTGGCTGAACAGAGAGAACCCCTGATAAAGATTTTATATGCCACCAACGACGGCCAGGTAAAAGAAATCGTTCGTCGGAGACCTCCGCCGAATTGTTTCGCGATGAGCGAGCAAGATGTGGATGACGTTGCTTTTTTGACAGGTGAGACACCTTCTAGGAAACTAGGTTAATTGTCAGGGGAGGGGGAGGGGGTTGCCAACGCGTACCGATTCCCTTTCGTCTTGTTTTTAGCGCCTCTCTTGACCTCTCGTGCTTCCCGTCCTGCTGCTTCCGTTTGTCGTTCGACATCGTTTCCTCTTCCCGTCTTATTTCCACATCTTTCCATCTCTTTTCGTCACCCGCGATTCTCTCCTTTACCTTTGAAATCGTTCGACCAGATGCCCCACTTACGACCCTCCGGGCTGCGAATAGACTATACGAGAAGCACGTGCGTGCGATCAATAAAAGAGACGCTTTTGATCTTTCAAATTAAAGCAGGCTAACCCGCTTATTCTCGCGTACGCGTACTGTCTTTATCCATTGTTTGTTACGTTTAATTATTTCGACTGCGTTGTCGGCGATAAGTAGGTCGTAATCACGTCCTCGTCACATTATCGTTTAGCAGTGACAACAGAACGAATCGCGATTGAAACCGTCGCCTCGATGTATTTAAGGTTTTCATGCAAATTGATAAATTCTTGCTAGATTTTGTACCACGAAATTAATCGAATTCATTTGCTCGTGGATAGGTCTTTGATACATATTATTGTTTACTTGGAAGTTTGTTGCTCTATGCTCGATTCGACGAGTCTTCCTTTTTCTTAACAATCCGCAACAATTGAAAATAATTGTTCAGTTTTCGAGGCTCGTGATTTTAAACCGGGATTGTACATACTTCTGTGCACAGTGTTTTTTAGTTGATATTGGGTTCAGTGACCTTCGAATTGTCTTGTATACAGAAATTGTCGTACACAAGGTCATTCGAAAGTCATCTTACCGATCAGTGACTCGTAGGGAACATACAAACACTGTTCAGACCTGCTTAAAGTAGAACAACGCTTATAGGAAAGTCCTAAATATTTCGATATTGTTGTGAAAAACGGGGATGTTTTGGTCAAGCATCTCATCATGTGTTTAATATGAAAAATTTCTAAATATCTCCGTCACAAAATAAACTGTCGCAAGATTAAAAATAACGAAGGAAAAACATTTTCTTCAAGGTCATCGATATTTTTTAAACAAAACCATTTAACATTCTGATTATAGAATCAGTTTGATACCAAATTTCTTTTTATCAAATTCAGGTCCAGATATTTAAAAAAGTATAGCAAACTTAATATTTCATAAGCTAATGGGTTGATCAAGAAAACTGTCGATGAACTTGAAATCTTTAAAAGAGTGACCTTGGGGAATACAATTAAATAGCTCGTTCGAACAACTTGGAATTAAAAATTACTTCGTTTGTACTCGATTATTGTGGAATATTTCATAATTACAAACAAAATAAATATTTCACACCGTCCAAGATAACTGTGTTACCGACACTAACTAATAAAAAATCTGTGTCAAGTGTCCGTAGCCGGGGACGCTAAACTTGACGCGATTCCTATGTCGGTGAGCGTAAGATTTTTCACGTGGAAAAATTTTATCAGCATCGTGCATCGTGCGTTTTCCCTCGGCATTAAACGATTCCTCGTAATCGTGTTACGTTTCCTTTTTTTATATCCGTTAATCTAACGACGAAAGTATTAGCGATGTAAATTTTTTGAAAGCACGTACGTTATTTAAATGAAAATTATGTGTACACCTGATATAAACTGATCATTCTCCAGGAGACCGTTTGTTCTAGGAGATAACAACTCAGGATTGCACAAACGTAATATTTATGAGCACAATGGAGTTATGTGTTCTCAGAAAAGGGCTCTCTGCATCGCCACCGTTGTTTTTGCGATTCTTTTCACCATATCACTCATCATTGCCTTCGCGGGACCACAGAATAGTATTTTTACATTATAATAACGTTACTATAACATTAACATTAAGTAAATAACAAATCGTGCATATTAATGCTGATAGTTAAAAAAATTTTTTTATAGTATATATATTATATACCGTCGAATAGCCTTTGTTCTTTAACATGCTCTCGTGTTTAATTTTTGTAGACTGCCCTTGCGCTGGAGAGAAGCCAGCCAACCTAGAAATCGAGGACGATGAAAAAAGTAGCGTGCCTCTTGCGACTAATGGAGAGGTATGGTCATTTATGTTTGTTTTCCCGGATATATAGAATCGTAATGACGAACTAGAGCAAAACATGTACCTCGTCGTATGTACTTTGGATTTAAAACACGGAGCAATGGAAAGACTCTATACTCGTGTAACATAATACGAAAGAACCACCTTGTATCATCGAAATGAGCTTGTAAATTCAAGTAACGATCAAACGATTCCTATTTTTCTACAGAGATTTTCCGAATCTAGTAAATTAAATTTATTTTATCGAATTACAATAGAAATGAAAATGGTCGAAAACCACGGTGATGCAAATCGATCACATACGTGGAATATTACTCTTTATGTTTAAAGCTAAACGTTTATACGAAACGTCTCGGCGGGAAATCAATTGCAGGGCGTGACTACAATCCATAGTGCAAACCTAAGTGCGAGCATTCATGTTCTATTATCATATGCACGATGTCAGTATTAAAGATATCGAGCGTATATTTCGTGAAACGTTATACCATTCAGGGTGCAAGTGTAATTAAATCGAATGGAATTGCAGGTGTTCCCCTGGAACAACGTAAGACTACCTACATTTGCGCATCCTACTAGGTACAACATCACTATTCACCCAAATCTTACCACCTTAGAAGTAAAAGGTAAGTGGCACATTGTCGTTTTGTTAGAATATTTAACCCCTTAGCTTACTATTACGTCTCAGAGACGTGATAAGTTGGAAATAAAATCGTAAGGCAAGGGGTTAAATAGAGAACATTTGTAACGAAAAGATTAAGACAAATTCCGTACGAGCTAAGCATAATTTGTGGATAAGCGTAACTTCGAAGGTAAAGAATATAAATACGTAGAAGGGAAACTATTTTCCCTGATTTTATGCACTCAAATTTTCAAACGCTAGAAGAATGTACGCGTGGAGGAACTAATGCTCGTTTATCGTTTTCTAGGACAGGTCACGATCGAATTCTATGTCGATAAAGAGACCAACTATATCGTCTTCCATAGTAAAAATTTGACAATAAATGAAAAAGTAAGTACTTACGCCTTGAGATTACGGGGATGGACGTTCGAGGACGTTTCTATGCGTTTTAAATATTTCCAGATGGTTCAAGACCGTAAGGGCCATAGATTAAAAATCGCTAAGCTCCTGGAGTATCCGAAACACCAGCAGTTATATTTAGAACTGGAGGAAAGTAAATTTCGGAAAAGGGGGAACTATTCAGTACACCTAAGATTCATCTCGAAACTCAGGAACGAACTCGAGGGATTCTATCTTAGTAGCTACGTTACCCCAGAAGGAGAAAAGAGGTTACTCTGAAACTGTAATAATTTTCTGTTTGTAAGAGTATCACAAGATGCAGCCCCGTTTACGAAGATATTCGTAAACCGGTGTTTTTTTCGACTGTAGGTACTTGGCTACCACCCACTTTGAACCGACGTACGCGCGATCGGCGTTTCCGTGCTTCGACGAGCCACATTTCAAAGCCAAATTTAAAGTCTCGATATTCAGAGATAGGTTTCACATTGCGTTGTGCAATATGCCTGTAATGAATACCGAGGACGCTGGATTTTACATGGGAACGGGACTTGTGAGTGTAAAACACACAATTATAACTTCCGATAATCACCGATCGACAAATTCTGAACGATAGCTTGTGCTTTTTACGATTAGGGTTTCTTTCTATTTATTTACGTACAGGTAACCCTACTATAACACGATAGTTAGGCTCCTAAAAAATACCGTGTTATATGAGGCCCAGAGCCAGTACAAAAAGGGGAGTTAATTTATTAAAAACAGATATTTTTTTTTAATTCTACATAAGCAACTTAATTTTTAAAACACAAAAAAAACAAAAAATACTATTTTAATTTAACGCAACTTTAATTTAATAAATTATAATTTGTTATATTTTTTCATTTAAAGCCACTATAGTTCATTATTCCTTCGCGTCATTATTTTAAGATAATTTTATTTTTAAATATGTTATATGTAGAACAAAGTAAGAATATCTTCTGTTCGAAGCAATTTTAAAAAATTAGCAAAGCATTAGCGATCGCCAATGTGTCGATGTCTTCTTCATCTACAATATCACATGGCGAACAATTTGAACAATCCTGCTTAACTTTTATTTGATGGTTTTACCGCCGGAAAGAGATATCTGCATGATCTTGATTTTCAACTTTTAAAACTTGGATTTCTTGGCTTTTAGACGAGGTCTTAGACTTAAAGTCACCACTTGGTCGTTCTTCATGTTTGAAACTTTAAAATTTTCTTTTTTTTCAAATCCTCTAAGTTTCGAGGATTGTTTCATTTGTATCGATATTGAAACTGTCTGTTATCACGTTCATAAGGTCGTAAAATGATCGATTTTTATCCAATCGCGCTCTTTGTCGATAATTTCTGGTATTGAACATCTTGATTTATCCACTTTCCAAGTTTTATCGGTTTCTTCAAAATAGCACGATCAGAGCCGAGTAAAATACCATTTTGATCAGTAAATAGTAAAGAAATATCGAGAATTACATATTTAAATTTTGAATAAAATTTCCAGCTCCGTGATGATTTCCAAGAATCTCTCGAAATGTCGACGTACTTGGTGGCATTCGTGGTGTGTGATTTTAAACGAGTCTCCGAGTTGACAAAGAGGAACATTTCCGTAAGTGTTTACGCGGCGGAGGCGATGCTTCCACAGGCGAAATATGCTGTCAATACTGCTGCTCGTATAATGGATTACTTCGAATCTTTTTTCGGAGTACGTTACCCATTACCCAAGCAAGGTACGTAATATAAACGAGTGCAAACAATTTCAATAAATTTATTTCTTCAATTAAACGACGAATACTGTGAAACCGAATCGTATTCGCTCGTTCCTATATAGGATGTTAGGCCACCATTGAAAAAAATATGAACGGGAGATTCTACAGGCCAAAATAAGATGAAAATCAAGAATACCAATTTGTTGATTGAGGCTCTGTTAAACAGTTATTAACGTTCAAAGATCCATTCTGAGCAGACAATTTTTCGGCAAAAAAAAATATTTCAAATTGTACTGGAAAAAATATTTTTGGCTGCGGGAGTCAATTACAATCATTTTTGGTCAATAGACATACCCTCGAAATCCTAACCATTTTCGAGAAAAAAATTCCTTACAGACAGTATAATGTCTGATCATGAATGAACGATTCCCCTGAAATTTCAAGTGTTTCGAATCGTCCTGAAAAAATTATCTTCGGTTGCAGGGGTCAATTACAATCATTTCCGGTGAATAGACATAGCCCCGAAATCCTACGCACTTTCGAGAAAAAAATTCAGGAAGGTGGACTTTTTCGGCTAAATTAAAAAATTTCAAATCGTTCTGAAAAAATTATTTTCGGTTGCAGGGGTCAATTACAATCATTTCCGGTGAATAGACATAGTCCCGAAATCCTACACACTTTCGAGAAAAAAATTCAGGAAGGTGGACTTTATCGACTAAATTAAAAAATTTCAAATCATTCTGGAAAAAATACTTTCGGTTGCAGGGGTCCATTACAATAATTTCTGGTGAATAGACCTACCCCCCAAATCCTACGCACTTTCGAGAAAAAAATTCTTTACCGAAAACACAATGTCTGACCATAAATGAAATTTCATGCGTATGTTTAAAAATTCATAACTCCTGAACAGATTGGACGATTTTAATGTTTCCAAGTGCAAACAACTCGTGTTTTATTCAAGAATATGTAGAAATTCTCAGAATATTGAAAAAGTTGTTCTTTTGGGGGGAAAAATTCGTGTAGGTGTACAAATTTTATTAATGATTTTAACAATTTTGTCAATAATTTTTCAACGATGCCTCAATAAACAAATTGGTACTCTTTTCGTCTTATTTTGGACCCTAGAATCTCCCATTAAAATTTTTCACAAGGTTGGCCAAACACCCTGTATATACTGGGAAAGGTACCATTTTGTTCAAGGAACATACAATTCAGCGATTAATGATCTCATTGGTGGTTTTCTTTAAAAAATGAGTGCCGTTTGTGGCTAAAGGAACCTCCCCTATGTATACGATCGTAATCGTCGATGTATTAAGCTTACGAGTAATTGTTATTCGCCATTAATAAATGAATTTCACTGTTTTTCGGTAGATTTAATAGCTATTCCCGATTTTGCCGCCGGGGCAATGGAGAATTGGGGTCTAATCACGTACCGAGAAACATCTATACTTTACGATCCGCAAGAGGCGTCAACGACTGACCACGAATGGGTGGCGATAGTCGTGGCCCACGAATTGGCCCATCAGTGGTTCGGTAATCTCGTTACTATGAAGTGGTGGAACGATCTATGGTTGAACGAGGGAGCAGCCAGTTTCTTCGAATATAAAGGAGTAAATTACATCTCGCCCGAGTGGAGCATGATGGATCAATTTATTTCAGACAAAACCCAACCAGCCCTCTCTCTCGATGCTTTAACCAGCAGCCACCCTATAAGCGTGCCGGTGAAAGACCCCAACGAAATAGAAGCCATTTTCGACGACATCAGTTACAGCAAAGGAGCTTCCATTCTAAACATGCTCGAAGGCTTTCTCTGCGAGGACGTTCTCAAAAGTGGATTGAACGACTATCTGAACTCCCACGCGTATGGAAACGCTGACACGAACGATCTTTGGGCTGTTTTTACGAAGCATGCCAATCACACCTTCGATGTAAAAGTACGTATTAACCTAAACGTATACGTTACTCAATTTTTGTTAGTAGAAACTGCGTTAAAAAAATTTCGAGACTTTTTGTTTGTAAATCATTTATTCGAATATATTTATCCAATCGTTTTTTCCGACTTAAAGAGAATGTCACAAGACGAAATTAAAGTGTTAAATCGAACATGCATCTAAGAAATGTTAATTGCACACTTTAAATGACATTGTATTGTTTTTTAATTTCTACAAGATAGTCCAAGAATTATACCACTTTAACATTTAGTTTCATTCGGATAACATGAAGGACACTTACGAAAAACGAAAGAAATTATTAAACTACGCGAGTGTATTTATAGCACGAACTAGAAGAAATTGACAAAATGGCAACGTTTTGAAGTTTTATCCATAATTTTGGAGTACCTGAGTCACCCGCCATTTGTAAATGTTAGTTTCTAACGAGACTAAATGTGTTGGCAGGCCATCATGGATACGTGGACCCAACAAATGGGTTTTCCACTGATCACGATCACGCGTGATGGAAACACTATCACAGCATCACAGAAACGGTTCTTACATTCGCCAAAAGAAAATGACACAGAATTATTACAACCAAAATCGCCCTTTGACTACAAGTGGTACGTCCCGTTGAGCTACTATACAGACAAAGAACCGCGCAAGCTTCACAACGTGTGGATGAATTTAACCGATGGTAACATATAGAACATTTACAGTGAAATCATTTTTCAAACGTTAAACAAATATTAAACTATATTTTCAAATTAATTATCAGCCAATAACTCTCTAACTCTTTATCAACGTTTAGAAATAACTAAAAATTGTACACTTCTAATGAACTTCTAATTAAATAATAATCGTTCGTAAATTGGTGGATTAAATATATATCTGTTGGAAGAGCCAATGAATTTATTGGCTGATGATCGATTCTATCAAGCTTTGCGTGGTACAAGCGTTACATATTTTTAGTAACATTCGAGGTACCTAATGACGTCGAATACATAAAATGTAACGTGAATCAGAGTGGATTTTATCGTGTTACTTATCCGGAGGAGATGTGGTCGTCGATCCTCGCTACTTTGTTAAACGATCACACAAAATTCAGTCCAGCGGATCGCGCTAATCTGATCGACGATGCGTTCACGCTTTGCGAGGCGGGCGAGCTGAACGCCACTATACCTCTCGAGTTGTCGCTTTATCTACTGAACGAAAGGGATTACGTCCCGTGGGCCACGGCTCTTGGATATCTGCACTCCTGGAAAGGAAGATTAAGCGAAAGTCCCGGATACAAAAGATACATCACGTTCTTAAAACGATTGTTAACACCGGTTACGAAATACGTCGGTTGGACGGACGAAGGATCACATTTGAAAAAGTGGGTACCGATAACTGCAAACAGTATTATCTTAAACGCCATTGGTGTAAATTCATTCTACGTACATTTCGTCAAATCGTCGGGGATTAAAAAGGTTCTAAAAATATCTGTTGTACAGGTTATTCCGTCGTTATAACCGCATAACCGGCGAGGGAGTGATTTTTCATGGTAAAATTAATTGAAAATGTCTTTTCGAGATGTTTGACAATTTCTAGTATACACGTTGGATCGAATACGATTTGGCTTGGCGCGTCTGTTCATTGCTCACTGTTTCTACTTATGATACTCGAACACTATTATGTGCTTACTTCAAATTTGATTTTCTTGAAAATGATGAAATTTTATTTCTTCTCTCAACTTGTTATGTAAATGAATTTAAAGTTTAAAGTAGTCTTTTCGTTGGATTGCCCACACAACGTAATATGTGCAAATTCAGGGAAGAACAAATATTTGGTAACTTATTGTAGGAGTCTGTTAGTTTTATAATGATCGAACGTTTGTTATATTGGTACGGTCGTGTTTAGTTTGTCATCTTCTCGTTTTTAGACTATTGAGAATCGCTGTGCTCCAATCAGCCGTGTCCGTAAAATTGGACGATGTCGTGAAGCCTGCGAAAACTCTCTTCGAAAATTGGATGTTGAGAGGCGAACGAATAGCTCCGAATATTCGAGATGTTATATACATTGCAGGTAATCACGCTCTTAACGTAATTTTAATTATAAAAAAAATGTAAATCAGTCAAAGTAAAATTTGAAGTTCAGTGCATTTTTATCCCGTTTATCGTTATGGTTAGACATATTGTCATTATTAAAGATTTGCAACATTTAGAAAATAAATAATTACCCATTTTAAGAAAAATGCTATTTGTAGAGTGGACAAAAATATAAACTCAGTTAAAAAAGAACCATTTATTTGTGAAGTAATTATAACGCGAACTGCTATTAATAATCAGCAATTTTTCAGACTATACAATATTTTTTTATTATCTGACTTTTTTTGAATTTTGTTAATTTCTTTTTGCTACGTATTTTTAAGACGTGCAGTTGTATGGTGCTTTCCATTCCAACATTTTTCTTTTTTTAATCTAACGATTCGTTATAAAAATTTCTTTTTACAATTTTATCCCTTAAAAGTGAACCGTACGTTTAACGCGCAGGAATCAAATTTGGTGGCGAGGAAGAGTGGAACCACTGTTGGCAGAATTATCAAAACACTCAAGTACCTAGTGAAAAAAGAATAATGTTACAAGCGTTGGGGAAGACGACAGATTCCTGGTTGCTGCAACGTTATCTTCTGCACTCGTTGGACCGAGATGTCGTGAGATCGCAAGACGTTGAAACCGTCATAGCCTCTGTTGCCAGCAACACCGAGGGCCAGTTCCTCGCTTGGCGTCATCTGAAAGCCTACTGGCCGCAAATACATGCTCTGTTCGGGAACGGATCGCTCACGATGGGTGGACTTATATCCGTCGTTATTTCTGATTTCTTTACGGAGTACGACTATCACGAAGTAAGTCAAAAATATTTCTCTCGTTCCCTATCATAGAGCAACTCGCGTCGTCTGGAAAGCTGTTACAGAGTTGGGTGATCAACATCTCGACGCTCAGATATCTTTCAAATTTACTGCCCAAAATGACAAAATTCGTCACATGTGTTATGCATTTCTAGGTGTACATCTTTGTTTTCGCCGAAATCTCTTGGCTTCGACTCGTACGCTAATTTTCTTGCTTCTGAATCATTCCCATGTCTTTGAGGCGTCTTGAAATAGCTTGTTGAGTCACTCACAATGATCGTGTCAATTCTTCTTGAGTTCGACACGAGTCGTGATCAAGAAATGCCTCCAATTCTGCATCTTCGAAAACCTTCTCTCTTTCATCGCCATGCCGGTCTTTGACGTCAAAATCATCGTTCATCGAGCGTTGAAATCACTCGCGACACGTTCTGTCCCCGCGTGGGACTCACCATAAGTATCGTTCTTCAGCGAGAAGAAGGCACAGCGTGTTTATATCTCCATTCTTGCTGCAGTCCGCTGATTTCGACCAATATTTGTGAGTCAGCGGACTGCAACTGAAGTGGAGATGTTCTTCTCGTGTAAGAGTGGTATTTGAGAGCAGTCGATGAGCCTCAACCGCAGATTTCTCGCAGAAAATTAAAACCTCCCTCAAATTATGAGAATTTATCTCGTAAACTGACACTTTCAATCGAGAATAACTTTATAATACAACCACAAATCGACTAACGTTTCTATGAAGGTATGTCGACAGATGTCCAAGTTAATCGAATGACCACCACTCACCGCCAAAGCTATTGGAAAACGTCGGAAGCAAATTTGTACACCAGACACTTTGAATTACAGCCACGTTTTCCGTACAACCGCGTAACATATGATCTTATACCATAGGTGTCGGAGTTCTTTAAGAAAGTAGACGTTGGAAGCGGACAACGAGCATTAGAACAAAGCCTAGAAACAATCAAGTTTAATATACATTGGGTGAAAGAGAACGCTGAAATCGTCGACCGATGGCTTGTAAATTATTTGAGCGTTCACACGAGTTAACCCCTCGCTGGTCGGGAATGGGACAAAAATGGCGCGAAATTATCATTCAGTCATTTTGTGCAAATGTTTATTTTTTTTATGGTTTTTATCGAAGTATGATACCTACGATGTTCACGCGATGTATCCCCTCCCCTCCCCCCGTCCCATGGAAAAAGTAAGATTTTAATTTTCATTCACGAGGTAATCGAACCATTTCTTTACTACTTAGATATAATTCGCAGATCGAGAACGACCCATTTTCGCCAAACGCGTCAAAAGATTATTTTCACCGGGCAACAGAACGATTATCCTCTTCGACGAACGAAGGTTCGCTGGATCCCCCCCTCCCCCCCCCTCCCCCCCTTCGAGAAATAGAAACGTATTAATCTCGTATTTAAAAAGAAAAAATGTTCTCCTATACTTGCCAGCTGGAAAGAATTTTTTGACGTATCGAAACACAGCCGAATTGTTTGTATGTAACATATTATACACCGATTTATATGCACTTTCGAAAGTATTTATTTATTATGCACGCAGTGCGTGCAAATTGGACTACTATGTATAGAGGAAGAAATTATAGAGGGGAAAAAGAGACAACGTTGTTCCTAGGATAGTCGGTGACCCGAGGATTTTTTCAAAGAAAAGGGCCAAACGGCGTACGAACGATAACGTTGCTACCTTGTTCTCCCAAAATATACTATACTTTATTACAAGGAATGACCGTAGTCATCTCCACGTGATACCCAAGCCCCAATTTCTGATCCATCCATTACATTAATTGAACAGAGTGAAACGAGCCTGCTGAGAATTTGACAAAAGATGCTACTTACATATGTTACGTAACACGGTCTATAGAAGGAGTTGACGCGACGCGAATTGTACACAGCCAACGTTTCGCCATACACCGGATTACGGGGAATCTTTTATTCGTTCAGTGTTCGTTGTTTCATCCATGTACAAATTTTTGTAACGGTGAATATCGATTGTACGGTCGGAGGAAAAAAATTGAACAATTTACAATGTCGCGCGTGAATCGATGATAACCGATGATAAATTAGTTGGCTACTCCTATAGTCCACAGTGTGATTTGCTGTAAATAAAATCAGGGAACGACGTTTGATTATGTTAGAACTGAAAAAAGAAAAAAAAAAAATTATTATAGAAAATGCCCGATGCGATTGCGCAGACAGTCGGTTATTATAAGTAGCATATCAACATTAGAGAAACTTGACAGGTTGGATCGACCGTGTCTTTGTCAAACAGAATTCTAGTCTCTTGAAAATACCACTAATTAGACGAAAGGGATTCGGTGGCCTCGAATTAAAAATGATAATGGAAAAGAAAAAAAAATGAACGCGTCTTGCCGAGGATTATACGCACCTCGAACTAAACGCAAGAGATCGATGTACTGTTTATCATGTATTAATGTGTTGCTGCAGGTCGCTGGAGACACGGGATACGTCTCGCGTGGAGCTGATCATTCTCCATGTGAAGTAGCATAATAGAGAATCGGATATTTTATTATGAAAAAAAAGTGTATAAATTTATGTATATAATCTTGTGATGCTTCGTGTGGTGTGTACATATTGACGTAAGAGAGTTGTGTGCCCTGTGTGATTGGATATATTACAAAAGGTATCTAGATGCAGATAAGACACCATTATTGCCAACATTTCAAACTGGCCTTTACTAGAAAATATTCGTGTGATTTTGGCAACAAGGATTCGCTGAATTTCAAACGGTATCCGGTGGAATTAAATTCGCGTCAGCTATCGTTTCAGGGGGCCTTTTGCAAATTCGTTCGAAAAGATAAATTTTCGCGTAAATTTTTCTACAAAAGAAACCGTTAAACTTTTTTTATTCGTCTTTCGAGAATAATAATAATTGTAAAAGTTATTTAACACTAGAACTTTCAGACCAGTCAAAATTACCCATTATTAAGTAATTTCTAATAAAACATGTAAAAAATTTACTCGATTGAATTTTTGAAAATTTATTTTCTAGAAGAGAATATATAAACACTTATTTCCATTGCATTATATATTTTTTTGGTACAAATAAACATACTATAATTGTCGGTAGTTCTAGTATTAACAATCCAATCTGAACGTTGTATCAAATAACTTTTACGATTTTCATCATGTTGTACCTAACAAAATTTGTGTATATTTTCAAAAGACCCATGGAAAAAGATTTGATGGTTTCTTTTGTAAAAAAATGTACAAAAAGAAGGTTTCTTTCCACCGAATATGTAGAAGACTCACTCGATGCTAGAGGAAATATAATTTACCGTACTTTGAAGTTGCTTCCTACGTTCTTGTAATTATCAATTGACAATAAAGTTAAAACAATGTAGGAAGAGATATTAAAAGCAAAGATTCGTTTGTTACATTTCTAACGTACGAAGACTTAATTTTAGCGTTATTAAAGATTAAAAAGTGTCAAAATTTAGGAACGTATACAGAAAATGATCCTATATAATAACGAAAGAAGTGTAAAGTATCGTGGATATTAGCACGAGGTAAATAAGAACGAATACGAATGAAATTTCTATCCCAATCAAACACAAAAAAAGAAAAAAAAAAGTATGTCGTGACAACATATAGACGGTTTAGATTTTATTATCCGACGAAAGACTATTTCCTGCGCGTCTCTTAGCTTGATTTTTACGGTTTCTACCTAGTAGTCGGCCAAATCTCACGAATATTGAACTTCGGGTATTCTCCCCATCACTCTCATTCAAGAACGAAGCATTATTCGTTGCTAAAAAAAAGAGATTCACCATTTCTAATTAGTTGTTGTCACGGTAGAGCACATAGAAGAACCGATCGATCTCTATCAAATGATCTATTGTAAAGAAACTGCCGACGATGCTTGCAAGTCAAACGTTACCCCCATCCCGAGAAAGTAGCATTTTTTTCGAGGTTTATGCCATTTTGTACATGTTTTCGATCACAGTACAATTACTTTAATCCCCGACGAATACGATTCCCTTCGTGAGTTCGTCGATTTTAAAAACCGGATCAAAAAAGTTTATTCCGGCCGAAATTATACACGCATGTTTCCACATAGGAATGGGAAAAAATTCTGTAAATAACGGCTGCATGAATCTTTTATTAGCCCTTTAAGTAGATTTTGATACACTCCAACGGCGAATTAATAAATCGACGCACAACTAGATACCTTACGTGTAAATAGCATATTTTTTCACTAACGGATATTCTCTCTTGTTAAAGATTTAACGAAGAAAAAATCGCTCCGCGACGTTCGCGGTAGCGCTCATGGTTCGAAAATTTGAGTACGCAGAGAGATCCACGAACCGATTGGCCTATTTTACAACGTGTAATATCCGAACGTACTCGTTTAAGGAATAATATGCAACTCTCTCCTTGCTTTTGTTTCGAGACGATTAATCGCACAGATTGTCATTGTTCCTTTATCGATCTGTTTCTTATTCAGAAACATCGTCGTGAGAATCGTTTACTACTAGTTGATTCTTTTCAATCTCTCACAACAAATTGGTCGACGACGTTTTTGTTTCCGTTACTATTAAAATGGTCTAACAGTATTAGAGAAAGCTCATATTGATGTGTTACAAATAACATCGAATACGAATAATAATAATAATACATATTTCTTTACGAGTCTAAAGCGATTTGAATGGAAATCTAGCCCCCTCCCCCACTCGATGCGGAGTAAAACAGATGAGAAAAAGAAAAAGTTCTAACGAAAGACTGGGACATCAGAGTAATCAAGAAAAGAGTACATGCCTATATGTATTTTATGCAATCACAACCCGATACCGTTACATCTTAAGAGAATGAGGCTGACTCGCATCTCAGACTTATTAATTAATTATTAATATAATTATGCAGTAATTCCTTGAAAGACGTTCAAAACCTTCTAAACGTTAAACCTGATGATATCACTGTTCCCTCCGATTCTGGGGATCGATCAGAGCGAGCTATACTTCGTCGATAAGATCTATTATCCGAAATAGTTCGTTTACCTGTTCATTGTGTCGAAAAACATTTTTAATTAATTGCATTGTATCCGAAGAGACTTTTCAGATGGATGTGATTTCATTTTTTTACATTTTATACTTTTTGAGATATCAAGGTGATCTTCAGTCTTTTCAGGGTCAATGGATATTTTTGTTAACACTAGATTTATGGGAATTGATCGCACGTATGTTTATTGATACCTTTTATGGTGACGATTACCTTGGAATACGATTTTTCTTTTAATTAGAATATGTATTCATGCTTGTTAAAAAATAATATTTACGCGTTTTGCAATTTTAAATATGGAATCTAACATCCGTCAAATTGACGGTTTCCGTAAATCTGGTGTTAAAGACAACTTGTCGTTGAAGAGTTCTCTGTTGCTTTCTGATCTTCTGCTTTTCTGCTTGCAGAAATAATTAAGTAATGGATTACTATGATTTCAAAAGAACTTAACCATTACAATATTTTGTTCAATTCTGAGGGTCAGGATCGACTCAAAGTTGCCTTACAAATCATTTAATTCGTCTTTTTATCGCGTACAATGCAACATAAAAAAAGAAGATATATTGATCTTGGAAGAATTCAAAATTACCTTCATATCTCAAATAATACGAAATGTAACAAAATTAAACTGCATCTGCCGGATGAGTTCCCTCAAATACAACAAAATTTGGTTAAAAGTTTTGCTTGTACAACCAACAGATAACGAGTTATTTTAGATAATACCTTTTAATGACTCACTCTGTTTACAGATCGCGACCAGATCGCTTAAAATAACTCGTCCGTTATTTGTTACAGAGAAAAATGTTAAAAGTTGCGTGGTATCGAGGGTGGCATATAGTACCGTAATCAATATTTTGATACTTTCTTATCGAGATACGAAGATCAGCTTAAATTTTTTAAATAGAACAGATACTATTTTTTGTGAATTCTAAATAGACCTTCAAATTCTGCATAAATGACACACTGTGTAAGATCTGAAGATAATAATTACGATAAATAATTGTTATTTTAAGAAATGTCCAGTGTTTGTTTATTAATTGGATATTTAAACATTTTCCAATGTTTTTATAGTTATTGGGGCACGTGCTCTAATAATATACTCTCACTTATCTCTAAAAATAAACTCATACTGAATGTAATGTTTACCAC